TTTTGTATTGCCAAATTCACCCAACTTCTGTTCTCGTTATAAAATTAAAAAATATAATCGGTATTTGCTTTATAAGATACATATATAATTTAACATTACGTTTAAATCATGTCTTGGGTGAGTAAATCCAGTTATTAATCGGCAAAATTCAAGTAACCCGGGCTTTTTCTGTTCCTGTATCCATTCAATAAGCCATCTTTTTACTTTTGTTTGCTTACTATTTAAATCTGAGCTGAAAGATAATTTCTTAATAATATCATTGGCTGTTATAATTTCTTGATAAAAATAATTTTTAACCTGTTCAATCTTGACTTTCTTTGTTTTTAGAAACTATATATATAAAATATAAAGTTAAAATTGATGAAAATACTTTTTGAAAAACAGATATGTTAATATTTACGTTTAAAAATCCAAACTTATTTAATTTATGCTTTATCGCATCAAGTTGACTGATGCGATTATATATTAACGTATCATAACAAATTTGTTTTGCCAATTTCTCCAAGTTTTCTTTTGATCGTGAATAAACTTGTTTTTGTATTTTCTAAAAAAAAAAAATAAAATGAATTTAAAATAGTTATAAAATAGTTAAATAAAATGGCACAGTAATCAATGCAATTAATTTAAAAATAAATCTAGTTTCATACAGAGATTCCTTTACACTCAGCCCATTCATCAAATCCAACAATAGTAGATAAATCAGTATTAGGTTCTGCGTTTAATATATCTTTAACAAATTTTGATACTGAAGGACTAAATCTTTCAAGATCATTTAAAGTAATAGTGTTTTCAAAATTTAAACAATATTTGAGCATTATGATATCCAAATTTGTAGGAAATGGTGTATCATGAATAATTGCCAAAAATAAAATATCACCAAATGCCTAAACATTAAATAATTACAAATTATTAATGTTAGTAATTAAAATACAAAAAATTAAATACAAAAAATATATATAAACTACATCGCTATATAACAGATTAAGTATTGATTTAAATATTTACATCAAGTTCATCCATGAAATGAATTGGAGCGGTCGAACTAATCAGTTTATAATTGTCTCCAGTAAACAAATGTCCATCACCACCATATTCAGGATTTTCCAATAACAGAAATGTCTCCAAAATTTGACGCATAGTATCATTGAATACTCCACCTGCGTCAATAACTGGTCTTTTTACAAATAAAAGATAATTAAATTATAAATTTCACATATATTGAACTAAATATATATAAACGCAATAGAATAATATAATTTACATACTCTGCTTCAAATTTAATTCTTGGTTTATATATAAAATCTTTTTCATCAAATTGCTTAATAGCATCAATGAATTCAGAAAACATTACATAATGATTTCTAGATGTAAGTTCTATGACCTTTGCATATGCAGAAGGATGCTTTCGAACTAGTTTATTTCTGAATTCACTAATAATTGCTCCAAATTCTAAGTTAAAGATTTTATTCAAATATATCGCTTAGAAATATTATTCATGCAAACAGCTAGATATCAAGTAATACCTTTTGAAACAGTTTCATCTGAAATCATTTCTAATTATTGTTAAATTGTTTTTGAGAAACGTTAAAATAAATAAAATTTTAATTGATAAAAGAATAATATAGATACCTTCACTTTGTTCTGTCTCATCAAAATTTTCTGAATATTGATATTACAAATGTTATTTTAAGTTTAAATATTTCATGCTTAGTTGGTTTTCAAAGAAAAAAAAAAACAAAAAATATACCTATATTGTTTGAAGGCGCATCATTTACCTCCATAATTTCAGAAGCATCTGCAATTTGACCGAATCAATAACATTGAACGTTTATATTATGTTACGAATGTTTGATTTAATGTATTTGTAATGCCTGAAATTGAATCTGGCCAAGAGTCACTACTATCTAAATTTGTACATGACTGAAAATAAGATCTCGCATATCACTATATCACATGTGGAATACTTGTCTTTTACAGAAGAAAGCTCCACATAATATACAACAGATTAATTTATATTGTAAATAATAATCCCATAAATGTTAATAACAATTTGGAACTTTAACCATGGCATTGTTTTTACTTAAACCACCATTAAATCAAGTATTAATTTGCATCAATGCTAATAAATTTAAAAGCTTTATGTGAAATTAATCATAATTACCTTCATCTCCCCAACCAACTGATGTATCGTTTACTTCTTCATCCCACCAACTGTTGGAACGTCCAGTACTCCAACATCTATCTTGATGCTCATCCGCAACCCAAGTGTCGCAATTGTCTCCTTGTTGTTCATTCACATCAATGTCTGAACTTGTTGTTGAATCAACTTCAACACCCCAACCCCAACCTAAATCATCATCATCCCGGACAGTTGATGTATCATTACAACTGTTTGATGGATCATTTATTCCTACATTCCAATTATCGCCTTGACATTCACCTGTAACCCAATTTTCACCCTGTTGTTCATTTACATCACCATCTAAACTGCTTGGTGAATCATTTACTTCAACATCCCAACCCCAACTTAGGTCATCATCATCCCGGATCGTTTGTGAATCATTATAATTATATGATGTGTTATTTATTTCCTCATTCCAACTGTTTGGTTGTTCAGTTAAATCTTCATCCCATCCACTTGATGAATGCCAATTTTGTACCGGCATTACAGAACAAGATTCATTATCATCATTCATATTTGATGGACAATTGGTAACTAAATGACGATTTAATAATAGCATATAAATCAAAATGATTCAGAAAAATACATAAAAACGTTGAAGATTTATTTGCTCACCTAAGCTCGATTCTTCCAAATTATCATGTCCTTGCATATTACATTCATGCAAATCTTCTTGATTATGATTATATTCAAAATTACTTATCACTTGCGCATTATCTATATTTAATTCTTCATTATAGATTCGCTGTAATCGCATAGCATATTCATAATCATCATCAACATTATTGCTTTCATCTAATAGAATATTCAGCAAATAAATAAATGATTAGTTCAAAGGATATAATTTTAAATAATATATATTGTAAAGATAATTTACTTGCCTTCATTGTTATTAATAATCTCAGAACTTTCATCGCTGTCATCAACTTCTGATGAATTTAATACTAGTGTAAATGAATGCAGAAAACCCACATTCGGACCTGTGTTAAGACTTATAAATTGACCTTGTTGAATGTTTGAAGATTCTTCACATGTATTGCTTTGAAGGTTTGACTGATTATTTATAGATATTGGACAAGAGGATTGTTCAACGACAGGTACATTAAGTGATTGTTCACTGCAAAATACAGGATCCAAAAATTGAGTTAACTGACAGCTCGAAGTCTCATATAAAGTGTCCTGCGAATTCGAACAATGATTTAGTGATTCATTATCATTATAAGTTGTATCTATAAATTGGTTCGAATTATTCTGATGGTCTAAAGATGGTAAAAGATAAGATTGTTCGATAGCGAGTGGTTCATCATAAGGCGTCGGGTCAACAAAGTTGTTCGACTGATAATTAGAAATTCTATTACTTAAGACATCTTGTGAATTTGATTCGTTATCCTGAGAGGACTGCTCAGTAACAGGTTGCCCACAAGGTGTTGAGTCAATCCATATTGAACAATGATGACTAACAAGATGACTATTTTCATGCTCATATTGAAAAGTGGTATTTACATTGTTCTCTTGATATTGATGATTGATTTTAATAGTTTTTTTAAGTATGTTAAATAATTTATTCATTCGTGTTGACTTAGTAAACGAACGATAAAAACCTCAAATGGACATGATTTCAAACATAATTTTATAAAATTATAAATATTTTGAAAATCCCATATCGACATTATACTGTTATAACGTATAAGGCAGAATGTGTGCATGCGTAACGTAACGTACGTAAATAACTATGTACATTCTTTTTAACGTTAAAAAGTTAGATTAAGGTTATTCCTAACATAGTAAAACCTTAGATCTCATTTTTCCAAGCAAAATAAATTTTAATTTTATATCGATGTTTATATAGTAGCTTCCGACAGAAATATTAGATGAGTATATACACCAATATACCAATACGTAATAGGTACGTACGTACGTAAATTTATCATATATGTGTAGCACAGTAGTAAGTAGATATGGAAGTAGATTCGGATAAGATTGGTTTCAATTCTTATAAAGCAAATACCGATTATATTTTTTAATTTTATAACGAGAACAGAAGTTGGGTGAATTTGGCAATACAAAA